CGCTGCTAGCCGGGATTCTAGGCGGTCTTCTGACCTGTCCTCCCTCTTTTTCAGCTATTGGCTGCTGTGTATTCAGCCGTTGGCTGCTGTGTATTTGCACTTTTGTGCTTTTTGATTTATAATATTATCTGTCGTTTTGGGAAAAAAAAATATGATATATTTTTCCTGCTGAACATATTCTACAACCGGATTAATTGATTTTTTTGTTAATGTGAGTCAACAAATAATCAGTTTTATAGCATGATTTATGCCAAATTGATTGTGTGTTATAAATGCCATTAATTATTTGCTATTTTACTAATTATATAGATTTAATGCCATTACTTAGTTTCTATTTTGTTGATTTTATAGATTTAATGACTAAAAAAATGTTTAATGCTTTTACAGATTTGACTTAAATTGATCAATTTTGATATACTATCCGATTTTATGAATGTTATATGAATAGTTTTAATCCCCTCAACAAAGCTGGGTATGTTAATACTGACTGTATATCTATTTGAATGATTGAATGAGTTAATGATTATGTTAACTAAGTATGATAAAAAAAAAAACCAAAACTGAGTATGATCGGATGATTATGTTAAAACCGAGTATGATTGAATGACTGAATTATTATTTGAATGACTGCTTTGTATATTATTGAATGACTGAATGATCGATTAAGTTAAAACTGAAGTTGGTAAATGATAATAACTGAGTGTTAATACTATAATGACATTCAGGAGTATAGCTCATTTTTCTGAAATTAGTCAATTTTTTATTTTGACTGAGTATATGCTTTTCTATGGACTGAGTATATGTTTTCTGAAATTTCTCTATGCTTTTATTTGTACTGAGTATAAGTTTTTTTTGTACTGAGTACATCTTTTTCTATAACTGTTTGTTTGTGTTTGTCATTGTAACTTTTTTTTTTTGCTTTTTTTTCTTTCAACTCCTGTGTTTCTCTTTTTTCAAATGGATTGGAACTTGTTTGTTTTGTGGATGCCAAGATTTTGTCTTTTTATTATGCTTCATCAAAATGATCATGCATTTTTTTTGATTGAATGCTTCTGAATTGTTGGTGAAGTAAGTCATATGCTTTTCAATTTGTTCTTTGTTGATTGATTATTCATGGAAATGCATGATTTGAATGATAAAGATGCCCAGTTTTTTTGTTTTGGCTGATTAGAAATTAGTTTGAATAGACCATTTAAATTAGTGTTGTAATATAAACCATTTCAATATAACAAACATAAGTCAGAATTGAAACTGAAATTTTATTCATCCTTGAATGCAGTCAACAATTAAGAATAGCT